CCTCCCTTATTTTATGCTGATTCTTGGTACAGCAGAAAAGAAGATACAACATAATGAATCATTACTTTTATCAAAAGCATGTAACATTCTCATAAGGGTGGGGAGGATAAGCGGCAGACTGTCAAGATTTTGGTAAGCATTCCATGACCCGGGATAGGTATAAAACATTAATTCTAGATTGCCACTGATAAATATGTATCCCTCCTACACACACAAACACAGAAATCGCCCATAAGTGCCTTCCTTGAACCCACGTCTGCTCAGACAACTGCCCCCAGGTCACTGACCCATGCTTGTTGTCATGCCGTAGTTCACTGGAGTCGAACCTACGCAGCCCTTCTCGGGATCTGTGCACAGTGTCTGAAACACTTCACTACAACACTGGCAATGAAGGTATGTGAGCTTGTTAAAGACCTCAGATCTGTGTTTCATCATCTCAGGACAGATTTTAAAAAGATAAATAATGTGACAAAAGTATTTTCCATGCTAGAGCATAACTAGGGTACAGAATTGTCATGATTTAAGATAATAGGTTGTTAATGCCATCAATGTTTAATTCTGTACTGTTAAAAATCAATATCCATAATTTTCTGGCTGTCTAAAAGGCTCATGTACATAATCTTCTGTCTCTGCTCTTTTTAATACATATGTATATATTGATCATAGTTTATATGAAATAGAAAAGAAAGAGAAAAAAATCAAGCCAGATACTTTTCACCAAGCTTCCAAGTTTCTTAGGAGTTAGATTTTTTTAAACCACAGTGTATGAAATGTATTAACCATCATTCAAGGTGGTGATAGCATCACTGGCTGAAATGCTGATGATATCCTACAGGAAAGGAAAACTTTTCCTATACATGGAATTTCAAGTCCTAGACCTAAAAAAAACCTCCTGGGAAAGAAATAACTGCACTGTCAAAACTACTCCTACAATATATAAAATATCTTAATTCATTCTCTCTTTCTACAGGAACCAAATATTTAACCATAAAGCAAAAAATTAATTAATTAATTAAATCAATTCAAAACAGAATTATTTAGAAGAGAATAAAACTAAAATCAAAACAAAATTCTACAGTCTTATTCTGGGTAGGATGAAGTCAATCCTTCATGATACCTACTAATACCCTCTTTTTTTATTTTGACTTTTCTGTCTTAGCATTGATGGGTTCATTAGCGAAAGCAAGGATGTTTTTCCTTACAGAATACATTGAGTCTGGGTTGGTTTGTTTTGTGGCTTCTTGTCCTCTCTGAAAACGTTCCAAGTTATCATTGTGAAATGCAAATATTAGTCATGCTAACCATCTTCCTTTTTTCATCCCTTCTTTACTGTATTTATCCTCTACTTTTTATTTTGGAAGGTTTTCTATTAAACTAAATACCAGCTTGTTAATATTTAATATTAGCTGGCTAAATAGATATTGTTATAAAATACTAACTGATAATATTATCAGTGACCTTATAATCAATTTCAATCAACTTTATTGATAGTGATGAATTATTTAAAACACTGATATTTATTGCATAAACTCATTCCACTGCACATGTGGACATTCGGTAAATGATGGAAAATCATATATATATGATGTTAAAAATAAAGCAGAAAGCCTGTTAGAATAATACTTATCTAGTCTGATGATATAACTCCATAAATGTATTAAGCTTACAGTTTATTTATTTATTTAGTTTTGGTTTTATCTCTTTAAAAAGTGAAGTAGTTTGACTAATCAGAATTTTATTTACAATTTTAAAAATATTTTTACATGTTATAAACAATAAAAATTGCAAGTTAATAAAATTACTAAAATGATTATTACTGGTTTTGAGGAAAGGTTGTAAAGTACTAAGGATAAAGGATGACAAACAAAAAATCATGTAAATTTGAAAGCGAGAGCATACTAATTTACTAGTTATTCTAAGATTTATTAGTTCTTCAATAAAAATCAACATAATTTTGATTTTTAAAAAACACTAAAGAAAAAGTGGTTAACTGAAGCTTCATTTGTTTCTTTTACATTAAATACTGCACTAGCTATTAAATATATAACAAGCTTTAAAATGTAACTTTATTTACCTTGGCAAGCAGAATATATGCAGTTCTTTATTTTGGCAAGTACAGGACATGAAGTAAGAGTGACTGATTATGTCTAGCAACAACTTCACAGTTATTCCAAGTATCATAATCTATGGAATTTGAATTCTCAGTTCAGTAGTCTTATGTTAAAATTTATATATTTTCATGAAGATTTCACATTTAAAAAGTCACTAAAAATCATAAAACCACAATCATAGACTTTCACTTTTCTTGGATTCTGGAGTAGACTACATGCCTAAGCACAGCACAATTTGCATACCCTTTTCCATGGCTCCAACTGTTTACAGGCTGATGATCCCCAAATCTCTATCTCCAGGAGCCCAGACCCTTAAGCTGTGCCTCAGTGTTTTATCCCCAAATGCCAAGGTTACACTGTCTGAGATCTTCACAGCCACCCTAAACTTGCTTATGTCCGAAACTGATCTCATTACCTTCCCCTTAACCTGGTTCATTCTTTGTTCCTTTTGTACATTAATGGCTGCCCACTTATCTAGACATCACAGGATCCTGCTAGACTCCTTTCTCTCCTCTATCCTACTCCTCCCTCCATACTTAATCGGTTACTAAGTATACTAATAACCCTATTTCTTAAATATCTACTGAATCAAACTTTTTCACTCACTCCCACCATCACTGCTTTATCTCACGCCCCAATTAATTTTTACCAGTATTATTGCAACAGCTTTGTTACGCATTTCCTTTCCTCATTTTCACCTCATTTTAATCCATTCTCCACAAATGCCATCAGAGTGATCAGAGGCAAACCTCCTCTGCATGTTTCCTCAGTTGCTCATTTTCAGGATTTAGAAGCACCTTTGCCATCTGTCACCTGCTTCCTTTCAAACCTAATCCCTAAATGTTTCTTATACCAAAATATTTTCTTTGTCAAATGTGGTTCTTCTGTCATGAAGTCCATTCATTGATTAACTCAACTATTAACAAAATATTTTCAGTATTATCAATTAAGCACTAGACACTATGTAGGGCTCTGAAGAGATGAAGACACACATGATCCCTAGCTTCAATCAAGATCTGAAAACTGAACTTGCCACTCCACTCCTCTTGATGCTGATACCTATGGACTGCAGAGAAACTCCTGATTCTTCCTTTCAAACTTGGCTGAGAAGACATCTTGTCTCAGAATCTTCCTCAGCATTCCTATTAACCTCTTCAGTGAAGCTGGGAGCAATACCTCTGTGCACCCCTGCCATCAAGGACATGTTTCTATAACATTTTCATGTAGAACTGTAACTCCTGACTTGAATTTTTCCCTAGTAGGCTGTGAGCCTCCTGAGATGAAGGCACTATTGTATCCTCAAAGTCTAATATAATGCCCGATCTGCAGGCAATTTCATTTTCTATTATTTCATGACTATAACATTTGTTACATAACCAGAGTATACAACTTTTTAGAGTTATACTGATTCTTCAAAGCAATAGAAATTTTTTAGCCAAGAAATTTAAAACTTTGGTTTTTTAGATATAAACAATTAAATTGCCACTTTATAAAATTAATACAATCATTTATTCTCAGAAGATATAAAAGTGATTTCTATCTTGTTTCACTGCATTATAGATGCTCACTTGCTACAAAAGTTATGATATACTTTTTCTTCATTCAAGGTAAAATTTGTCTATATTAATTTCAAGAAACAAACTTTTTTCTAACTTTGAAAGAATACAATTACTAGGTAGAATTTAGAATATACAGAAAGACAATAAAAATAATACTAGTTTAAATAAATATGTATTTGATATTTACTTCCTTCTTTTATATGTAACAATTTTTAAACAAAAGTTATACATAAGATCATGTTTCCCTTTTTTATTTAACATTATATTTTAAAACCTTTAATGTTATTTATAGTTCTTTAAAAATTATTTTAAGCCTCTATGTTATACTTACATGGTTACTCCAAAATTTAATTTAAAGTATGAAATATCACTATTATAAAGTATGATAAAATGTATCACTATGGTAAGCAAAGCTGTGATAACATCCTCATACATAAAACATTGTACACATTCTACCTCTACAAGACAGATTCTGAGAATGGAAATTATTGGATCGGAGGCATAAACTTTTCTTTTTATCCTTACGAGAGAACATTTTTTCATTGCTTTTAGAGAGAGATGAAGGGTGGGGGAGAGAGAGAGAGAGAGAGAAACCTCAGTATGAGGGAGAAACACCAACTGGTGGCCCCCTTCATGTCCACAGACCACGGATCATATGCACCTGGACCGATGATCAACCTCACTACCTTTCAGTCAGGGGACAATGCTCTAACCAACTGAGCCACCTTGGCCAGGGTAGAAAAAAAATTTTTTAATTATATTTTATTGTTGTTTATACAGTTGTCCCAATTCTTCCCTCTTTGCTCCCCTCCACTCAGCAACCCTCTCCCCACTCCTTTAGGCAACGCCCTCTCTTTTGTTCATGTCCATGGGTCATGAAGTTCTTTGGCAACTTCATTTCCTGTAGTTGCTCTTAACATCCCCCTGCCTATTCTGTAACTACCAATTTATACTTCTTAATCCCTTCACCTTTTCCCCTATCCCCCCAGATGCTCCTCCCCACTGGCTACTATCCCAGTGGTTTTCATATCTATGATTCAGTTCCTGTTCTGATTATTAAATTACCTCACTTGGACACTAACCTAATTCAAGTGGGCTAACAACTGGTACAGCCTAGTCACATCACCTCACAAAGTCTATAGCTGAGTCACATTTTTCTTCTTTGTTCAGAAGGGTAGCAGCATTCTTGGATGACATGGTCATTCACAGACAATGGTTACCCTTTGAACACAGTGTCAGGTGTGGGGGAGGTGAATACAGTAGTAGTCTTTGAGATGCTCATCCAGAACGGCATACTGAGTTTATTCTGGTTAAAATAAAAAATTCTTGCCTTAACTATCAATCCTTTTGAGTCAACCATCCATATCTTCTTTATGGCTTTCTCCTTTGGTAAACCTTCTTTTTCCATGGCCATAACAAGCAGGTTTGCAATCCCTAAGGCAGCCTGAGAAAAGGTCATGAAAACAAAAATTTTTTAAATTGTTCCACATAATATCTTAATAAGTTACATTTCACTCCATTCTGTCTTTGTTAATAAGGTACTCCAAAATGGCCCATTTTAATGACCTAAAGAGCTATTCATTTGTACTAGAAGCAAAGTATTTTTGTCACAATCGGTTTAAGCTAAATAACAATTATTTATTCTTCCTCTCACAACAGAACCACTATTAGGTGGCTTCCGATTTAGCCACAAATAAACCAATTATATCCTTGATTGTCAGTATCCTTAATCCTGCTAATACAACTAAGATTTGCTCCAACAAGAAAATACTGAATTTAAAACACTGATCTGGTCAGTCTTGTTACTGGACTGTGTAATGTTTACTGTTGAGTTAAAGATCCTCTAATTAAATTAGAAGGAAGCCTGGTATTTGGATGGGAACTTGACCAATTAGGCAATAAAATGAAACACATAAAATCTGTCTTCCCAAGCATTTATTTACTCTCTTACTTTGGAAAAAGAAACTGCTGTCAAATTTCTTGCAAGATTGAAGTAATGAATTTCTCTAGTATTTGATAAACTTAGTCATAGTCTGTGAAATTTCCAGAACCTTACCAGGGACAAAGGAATGACAGTTTTGAATCATCCAACCATAAATACTTCTGTCCTTCTGCCCTACTTATCAGGCATGGCCTGCACCACTGCACAAAATCCTTTGGAAATTCAGAGACGTTTACTAAAATTAAGTAAAGCATGTAACAATCCACAGAAATTTTAAAAACCCTCAAATTTTAATGAAATATTATTTAGCCTTGATTTTTATTTCAATGTGACAATGAATTTGTGATTTACATTCTGATTACTTTTACATCTGTATCTTGACATTTAAGTTCTAGGTTTCTGTATTTTGTTTTAAGAACAAGTAAAATCAAAACCAATACAATATATACAATTTCTACCAGTGTTATATATTTATTCATAATTGTATTTGTAAATATAAAGCTTCTTAAAATATATATAGCCACAGAGTTTTTCTCCATTTATTACATCCTATCATCCTAAACAGATTTTGACAGTTTTCCCACAAGAAGCTAAACTCAACTGACATTTTAATTTCTATTTTGGGGGTGAATTATTAGTATTAGAATCTAGTTTTCTTCTTTCAAATGAAAAATTTATAGAAAAAGAAAACAGCATAATTCTTGTTTTCCTGCCATCTCCTCCCAAATATATAAAATGTTTTGGTTCTTTTGTGTGTGAACAGTTGTAATGAACAATGAGTCTCTAATTCAAAATATTTTTCCTATAAACTTGAATATTATCATGTGTGTGAACACTGAACTGTGAGTCAAATTAAGAAAACTTTTGTGTGTGACACTGGACATTGTAAAAGTTAGCATCAAATATCATGGCTTAAATATTTCTTAAAGTCTGTTATATATAAGCATACATTGGAAACTTTTTGTTATTGCATGGCACCTTAAATATACATAATAAAAACATATGGCAACGTCTATAATCTTACCAATTTAAAACTGTGAAAAATATCTCTACACCTCGAAAGTCTCCTAAGAAAAATTAACATGGCTCAATTACTTAATTTGTGACTCTTTCAATAAAACCTATATTTGCAACATACTAAAAATCTGAGCAAATATCTCAAACTTCAAGTTAATGAATAATTAAAATGTATTCCATGCTCATTAGTTTAGGAGGACATAAGGGTTATGTAAGGCAGGTACCTCTCCAGCTCCTTGGAATAGTACCGTTTGATCAGACAGTTTGTTCTTGGTTATGCGAAGAGCTGCAAGGACACCTGCGACTGCAACAGATGCTGTTCCTAAAAGAAGTAACATTTGTCCTTGAGTAATCCTCACACAGATGCTGCCCATTTCTGAGCCTCAAGTCTTTACTTACACCTTGAAATCATTAAATAACAGGTTAACTGGTACAAAAAAAGGAACCTATGGCTGTCTGATCCCATCCTTGCAAATGAGGTGAAATTCTCAGGCTATTGACTTCGATATTTTCATATACTCTTGAAACTTTGCAAAAAGAAGATTCTGTGACTTAATTGGGTGATGCAATGAGTAAGAGCATGGGTTTGGATTTTGCTGTCAATTCCAGCTCAACCTGTTTACTACTTGAATTACTTTAAAATTTTATTTTGTACATCAGTTTCCCTATCTGCAAAATAGTTGTACTAAATGAGATAAGAGTACTAAATGCTATTAGATTCTTCTACCTAATTATTCTTGGGGCTCTGAGATCTATTACCAATCCCCTTACACAAAGTAGGCACACAGTAAGTGCTTGTTGATAGTAACATTGGTGGTAATGATATTTTGGGTAATTTGGCATTTAATGTTTTAACTTTCAATTTGAAAAATTAACAGTTAAAAGTAATTTAAAAATCTGATGTTGCAGCATTCTTTAATTGGCCTCTTACCTATGATAATCATTGGGGCATCCCAAAGGTGCTGGACAAAATTAATGTAAAATTTATTTAGGATAAAAGTTGAGTTTTCCTCTCGGTCATAGAAACTTCACCAGTTCTAATTTTATTACTTTGCCATATAAGCTTCCACAAATCACAGAGCAGTTCTTTTGCTTTGAACATAATTACATAGTTCAACTTCTTTATGGTTCATGTCTGAAATAAAATCTTGCAGTTTCTTGCAGTACTTTCCAGCTGTGTCTACATTTGACTCTTCTAAAGTGACAGTCTACCTACAATGACTCCTAGATCACTCAGCCGGGTAATAAAACCTAGTTAAACTTTAAATACACATTCAGTTAAATTACAACCACCCCATAGATTGGAATAGGCCTGACGAATGGCACGACGACGAAGTGTTACGCATGTCAAACACCAAAAACAGTATATTTGCTCTTTTCAATCTTTTGGTTATTAGTTTCTTTCTTATAGAATTTTGTAGTCATAAGTAAGGTCACAATAAGTTATAATTACTGAAAACCTGTATGTTTGCATGTTTTTTAGTCAAACTCATGTTGCAAATGCAAGCATTTGCTTGCAATTTTGAGTCACCATTGCAATAAATTATGAACTACAGTAAGTCATACTTTGTGCAAAAGCTGCTCTTCTATAGATTATTTAAAATCAAAGTCTGTTTAAATATATGGCTGATCTTTGTAGGGAAGATACCAGGGCAATATTAGAATGGTATTTGTCTCATAAATCTATAAATATTCACTACAATTGTTAAATACATGAAAAAAAGAATTTTAACTAGAGACATACAGGTATCTAGTCACTAGTATTTATTTACAAATAGTATCTCAAGCCATCTCTATTTTGGACTTTTTTGAAGTAACTTGGCCAGAAGTTTGGATTTGAGGGACTCTAAGTTCCCTTCCAACTCTGAGACTCTACCAGCACCACAAGATTGACCCACTGAAGAGTCAAAGTTGGAGTATCATCAGCAATCTCTGCTTGTATTACTGTTCTGACTTTAAATAGAACTGTGCATACAAGAATAGACAATAAAATATTCTGAAAGCTCCTATCTACATATGGAAACTGATTTTTATATGTCTATTATAAATGCTAGACCATTTATAATAGACCATATAATAGACCATAGCCAATGACTATGCTAGATCATTCTGTATTATAGCTCAAAATGTTTTAAGTTCACACATATCCCAGTTAAGACAAAATAAGCCTCTGTCTACACTGGATATCAGAGCCTTATATTTAAATGTATAGTCTATAATATTTTCTGAGGATATAATCAAACACCTAAACGTAAGTACCTTCATAGGGGTGAAGCAAGGGGAAAAAGGCGGAACAACTGTAATCTGAACAACCATAAATTTTTAAAACACAAAGTATTAAAGAATAAAGTCAGATATTTTTCTCACTACCCGAAAGATACTTAAACATGATTCTTATACATGGCCTGGTCTGACCTTCTGGCATAACCCTGATTTAAATGTCAGTGCAGTCAAGGAGTAAATGTGACAATGCAGTCAAGGAGTAAGTGTGATATTTCATAATAATGTGAGTTTTCACACTAAATTATTCCAAAATAACTTTGGTTTTGAGATTGACAACTAAACTTTTAGTCAACCAGAGAAAGAAGGGCTAATGTTTGTCTTTGTACTATCACTGTGTTTTAAAGAATACTTAGTGCTTAACATTGTAAGTAAGCTACTGAAGAGATTCAATCTTCTTAAAACTTTAGAAACTTCTATTTGTATTTGTGTATAATACAACATTAACATTAAAATGAATCACCAGTTAGTTATGTTGTGTCTTTGCTATGGTTATTAAATGTCAGTCTTATCTTTTATCAAAAAATGATCCCTACTAAGACAATAATTTATTAGTATGATTATAATTACTATAAATAGCCAGTAAAGACACTGACGTGTAATCCAATAATTGTACTCCTCATGTGCTAATGAATAAATAGACCAGGTAAAATACAGGGACTAGAAGCAGCAGAGAGAGGAGTACATCGGTTTAGGCAGGGCCCAGGCATTCAGAGTGCATTCCCTGAGCACAGACTGAAGGGCTAGTGTGAGAGGCCCTGGACCTCAGATGGCAGGGCACATTGTCCTGCACAGGAAACGTGTGCAAAGACATGGAGGCAGGAATAAGTGTTAAAAATGAGAGACCGAACACATAATATTGCTTTTTTTCTTCCCAACAAACTCTACTAAAACAACAGAAAGGAGATTTTTTTTTTCCAAATCAAGGAGACCAGAAGAAAATAGCATTAAAATTTTAGGAGCTGGAGGGCAGATGGGCAAATGGCAACTGACCTAGTAGACTTGAAAAGCTGGATTCTTGGCCAGTCATGGGGAATTCCAAGAAGCGAGCAAAAGCCTCAAAAGGCCTAGGTACAGGAGGCACCAAGTACTTCAGAAAGGGGTGGAGGTGTTGGTGAAGAAGAGGCTAATAACAGGAGGCTAGTCAAAAATCTATTAAGTATTCATACCCCAGATATCCTTCCCTGTCCCTCTAGCACACCACTGATGCTCCTACGCTGAGATCTAGAGAAAAACTCAAAATTTATTTTCAAGAGAGGGTCTCTGGGCTATAAGACACCAGGAATAATTGTGTGCAATGATGCCACACTTGTAAACAAGATTAACTGAAAGTTTACAAACAATATGGAGACCCCCCCATTCTTCTCCCACTTGGCTCAAAGAACAATGGCAGGAAGCCAATCCTAACAGAAAGTTAATATCAGAAAAGAACTTGGAAAAATCTGTTCTATGGAATCTGAGCAGTGTTAAGAGAAAAGAACCAGAGGGAGGAGTACATCTGTTTAGGAGGATTCCTTGAGGAAATAGCTCAACCAACTCACCTTATGGTAAAGTTCTAGAATACAAGCTTCATTTGTGTACTCCCAAAATGTAAAATGACAGGGAACATAGAAAACAGTGAAACTGTAAGTATTACAGTGTTGCTGAAGCAAAAACAGCTTATTAGAATGTAAAGTGATGTGCAGCTGGGAAGTGTCAGGATGAGATCACATAGTGCCTTCTGCTACATATTCATAGTAACTACACATAGTTATATAACTACATATCATTATAACTTATTATAGGCACCAAGTTGTTGCTGAAAGATTCTAAATCCAGAGGGCAGTGGGAGGAACTGATTTGAGTTATAGGGCTGGTGGTAACTAGACAAATTAGGACACCAAAATCTTTGATGTATATTCTTATAATTTTTTCTATACCTAATGTATGCAAATTCAAGAGAATTTTATAAAAAATATCTCAAGCAACCCTGGCTGGCATAGCTCAGTGGATTGAGCGCGGGCTGGGAACCAAAGTGTCCCAGGTTCGATTCCCAGCCAGGGTACATGCCTGGGTTGCAGGCCATAACCCCCAGCAACCGCACATTGATGTTTCTCTCTCTCTCTCTTTCTATCTCCCTCCCTTCCCTCTCTAAAAATAAATAAATAAAATCTAAAAAAAATTTAAAAAAAAAAATATCTCAAGCCATGCTTACCACTTTAATATATTTTCATCACTTAAAACTATCTTATGATTATCTCATTATATCAATTATATATATTTTAAAATATTTCATATAATATTCCATAGTATAGATATATGATCATTTATTTATCCAAACCTTTATTTCTGGATATTTAGATTATTCTAATTTTTTGTATCAAAAATAAGATTACAATAAACATGCTTATCTGAACAGACATTTTTCCAAAGAAGATATACTAATGGCCAACAGGTATGTGAACAGGTACTCAACATCACTAATCATCAGGGAAATGCAAGAAAAAAACCATGATAAAGTATCACCTCACACTATTCGTATGGCTATGATCGAAAAGGTAGGAGATAGCAAGCACTGGCATGGATGTAGAAGAAAGGGAACCCTTGTGTGCTGTTGGCATGAACGTAAACTGGGAGGCTGACTATGGAAAACAATATGGAGGTTCCTTGAAAAAATTAAAAAAGAACAACCCTGTGATCCAGCAATTCTACTTCTAGACATTTATCTGAAGAAAATGAAATCACTGTCTCAAAAATAAAATATCTGCCACCTCCATGCTCACTGAAGCATTATTTACAATTGCCAAGATATGGACACAACATAACTGCCCACGAGTGGATGAGCAGATAAGAAAACACTATGTGTGACAATGAAATATTACTCAGCAACAGGAAAGAAAAAAATCCTACTATTTGTGACAACAGGGACGAACCTTGAGAGCACTATGCTAAGTGAAATATACCAGAGAGAGAAACACAAATACTGTATGATGTCACTTATATGTTAAATCTAAAACAAAAATCCAAACTCATAGATACAGAGAACAGACTGGGGTTGCCACA